TGCTGCACTTGCCCCATATCTGTAGTTTGTGCACGGCTTATCTATTATTTCATTCTTGCTAACATGTAAACACAAAAATAGAAGACAATTTAAACCCCACATGGATTTATTTTGAAAACTCACCACTGTGCTAGTAAAAGAAAAATTAAAACCAGTCTGGAGACTAGGAGACAAAGTGTTCTGGATGTAGCAGTGATGAAAGGGTCAGCTTTACCTGTGGATGTGGCAAGTCCAACTCAAATGGAGAGATCACAGGCAAGCTTGTCCATGAATCACTTTCACTGGGACTTGCTCCCAAGAAGGTATGTACAGTATAATATGGAGTGGAGACTAAAATATCCTTGCTGGAAATGGAAGGAAGGGCCAATTACTAAGGAAGCATACAAAGAAATGTAGGTAGGAAAAGAAAGGTGGAATATGAGCTAATGATTGCAGGAGAGGCAGCATCCAGGAAAGATGAGTTTCTTCGGCTTTATTGGCAGCAAAGAGGGCCGTGGCTCACTACTTACAGCAAATGAAGAAACCTTAACAGGTGATTGAGAGAAACACAGGAACCAAACTCCTATTTTGCCTCTGTCTTTACGTCCAAAAGAAACAGTGGCTTGAGTAGCACACAGCAGAGGAGAGGACTGGTCAGTAAACAGGTAGAAAAGGTACTTCTTGCTATCCTGAATGCTTTCAAGTCCCTGGGCTCTGGGGAAAGACAACCCAGAATGCCGAAGGAACTGGTGGGAGAGCTGTCAGGTCCTCCCTCAGTCATCTTTGAGGAGTCCTGAAGAACTGGGGAGATGCCAGAGACTGGAGAAGAACAAACGTGGTCTCCTTCTGTAAGACAGGGAAAAAAGAGGATCCCAATGGTTATTGGCTGACATGCCTAACATCAACACCAGGAAAGAATAGATAATGAAGCATCTTGTAAGCAACTTGAGGACAGTGCCAAAATTGTTAAGAGTCAGCATGGCTTTGTCAGAACCTGTCTCCTCCTTTGTCAGGGTAACTACTCTAGTGGGCCAAGGGAAAGCTGTGGGTATAACCAATTTGGATTTCAGCAAAAGTTTTGACAAGGTTCTATATGATATTCTCCTGACAAGGTCATGAAGTATAGTATGGATGGCACTACAATAAGGTGGGTCCACAACTGTCTGACTGCACTCAGAGGGTCAACGTTAGTGGCTCAGCATTAACACCAGGGATCAGTCTTGGGGGTCACTATTATTAAACATTATTATTAATCACCAGGATAGTGGATTTGATGGGCTGCTTGTCAAATTTGTGGATGACACAAAATTGGAAAGTCTGCTCAATGCTCAAGATGGCAATGCAATTGCAGCCTAATCTGACAGGTTGGAAGGCTGAGCTGAGAGGACAAAGGTGTCCTTCAACAGGGAGAAATGTTAGGAATAACATGTAGGGAGAAAAGTTTAGGGCACTACATCTGAGGAGCACTTGGGCAGGGACATTGAGAACAAGGTGAACATGAGTTGGCAAGACACATGAAGTTTTTATTCCCCTCTGCTCAGCACTTACATCTGGGATACTGTGTATAGTTCTGGGCATCCCGTTTCCAAAAGGATACTGACAGGCTAGGACAGGTTAAGAGGAAGGCAATGAAGATGATGCAGGAATTTGAGAACCTGCCCCCTGAGGATAGACTGAAGGAACTTGGGATGTTCAATCTGGAGGAAAGAAGACTGGGGGAGCTGTGATAGCTTGTTCAGGTTCATAAAGGGAACCCACAGAACGTGGGGCCAGAAATAATGAGTGTAAGTTGCAACTTTCTAGATTTTGCTTGAATATAGGGGAAAGCTTCCTGAGGGTAAGATCTGTACAACAGTGGAACAGTCTCTGCAGAGGCTGGAGGTTTTTAAGAAGAGGCAGGACCACCATTCTCAAGGATGATTTCACTGATTTTCCTACACATTCTGAGGAAATGTTGAGCTAAGCTAAATCTGCAACATAAATCGTCTCCTTTTTTAGGAGAGTCATTAGAGGCCATAGTTTTAAAGTTTTGGTTGGGGGCTCATTCATAGACCTTGCCCTCATGCCAAGACGAGGGCATCCTCATTGTGGAACTCCATCTCAGTGCCACCAAGAATGGCAGAAGCTCATCAAGGGGATCCAGCAGGAAAGTGTTTTCCCTCAGAAACAGCAACACCAGCTCCTGTAAGCCAACATTCTCCAGGAATGGACTGGAAGAGGAGCTGAAGGAGGTCTAAGCCTGCAGGGCTCCTGCTGTCCCTGCGGAACCACTTGCTCCCTGGCCATTTCTGCTGTGGCTGCTAGAGAGCGCAGAAACTCCCTGGCAAACGCCTTCTTTTCTTTGCTCATGTTCAGGTAGGAACAGCAGCTTTGGGGAAGGTACTGAATGAGCTTTCAGTTCCTCTCACTGCCACCCCCCCAGGCAATCCCAATCTCCTTAAGTCCTCCCCCTTTCCAGAAAGCACGGGGGCTTACTAGGGAGAGAAAACAGGCCCCACGCTTGCTAGAGAGGAGAAAACTGGGGTGGGGGGAGGGATTGCCCACCTCCTCTGCTCCTCTCCCCTTTGCCGCACCTGCCCCTACCTTCGTGCAACCCTTGCAGCAGCCTCAGGAATCCCCAGGCGCTCAGAGCCGGGGTAGGGCAGGGGAAACATCCACAGCGGCTGCTGTGGCTGCTCTTGATGCCAGTTGTGGGGCTGGTAAAACAATGATTTCCCAAAGGCAAGAGCTGCCTCATCTGGAGGGCAGGGTAGACATCTTCCCCATGGACCAGGGCTGAGGAAAGCCCCTTGGCTCTCGGGGCAACCAGTGGGTTCCAGAGGGAGGCGCTCAGGCACAAGACCTCCGTGTGAGGCAGGCAGGGCCCCGTGCAGTGGCGCAGGCCCAAGAAGGCCAAGCTCCTGCCTGGGCCTGGGGGGGCACCTTCCTGCAGAGGTGCCCAGGCAGGCCCCCACCAAAGGCATCCAAAGACAAGCTCTACCCCCGCCCTTTTTTCTGAGATATCTGTGCTTGATGTGACGTTGCTTTCGTCAGTCCTTGGATGAAGGGCTGAGCAGCAGGCGTCCTGAGTCGGGCGGGAGACCTTTCCTCCTTCGCAGAGCTCAGGAGCGAAGCACTAGGGCAACCCGCATGCCCCCCGGCTCCCCCCAGAATGGCAGCTGCAGAGTTTGGGTTGCTTATTGGCAGGCACTGGAGGGTGTGCTCTGGAGAGATTAAAACGATTTTCAGCATTAATGCTTTTAGTCTTGAATATGGATTTAGAGACCAGAAAGAGGTTTACAAGCCGCTTCATCTATGCAAATTGGAACAGGAATGGGGGGGATTCCTTTCCTTCCCATTCTTCTCCGTGGAACAAATTCAGCCTCAGATTTGGCTCCTGGGCCTTGAATGGTGAATCCCCTTGAGAATATCCTCTCCAGAACGTGTGAAGGTCCTGGCCACAGGAGAACACCCAGGTTTGCACCACTGGCTCTGTGCAGGGGTGGGAGGCATCGCAGCTCCAGCCTCACCCCCCGTTTCACCCCATGGCCCCCTTGGGAGATCCTTCCCTTCTGGGGCACTGAGCACAAGGGGGCTATAATAAGCTTTCCACTGTGGACCCCCCCCCCCCCCGGTGCTACTGCTGGGCAGGAGAATCTGGATTTGAATGAGCTGTGAGGGGAGGCTGGAAGCAGCAAATTCGGGAACATGAATGTGCATATGTTCAGAAATAAGGGCGTGCTTAGAACAGCCCTGACAAAATAATCTTTTCCTTTTCCTCTCCAAGGGCTTTGCTTTTTTTGGTTTTGTTTTGTTTTTGCAAGCAGCATTTGTCGAAACCAGGAATGGAAGGAGACGTATTTCCTGCTGCTCGCAGGTCTGCAGCCTGTGCCAGCACGAGGCAAAAATCAAAACTGGAAGGAGGAAATATTTTCCCCCGTTTCCCCACTACAGCAAGTGGGAGAGGGGGGCTCCCACAAGGCAGGAGTTCCTAACCTCCACCCAGCCCCACCTGGGGGGGAGGGGGCTGAGCCCCTCCCTGACCCAGCCCTGGTCTCCTGCTCCCCCAGCCAAGTAGGGCCTCCAAGTGGGCTGAAGTCCAGCCCGCTGGTGAGGGGCGATCAGGGCAAGATCATCTCTGGGGGCTCTGGCATCTTCCCCCCAAAAGTGGCATGGGGCAGAACCTGCCAAGGAGGATGCTAGTGCTGGGGGGCCCTCTGCTTCCTGCTGGCTCTCTTGGTTCAAGAGCACCCCCTCTGTTGGCCAGAAGGAAATACGGGGATGGGGGACATGACACAGAACCCCTCTCCGCAAGGCTTGTAAACAACCATCCTTACTGTCCTTGTGCAATGGGTGGCCAAGGAGGGGCTTCTTGGCCCCCTTCTGCTTGCTAAGGATGGGGGTCTTGCCAGTGTCATAGCTTGGGAGAGCAGGGCCTGGCTTAGTGGAAACCTCCCTTTGAGAACACCCAGCTTCCCTCATGTCCCCCTCATGCCAATCTCCATTTTGGAGCCTGGTCACGGAGCCGAGGAGCCACAGCCCAGAGGAGTCATGTTCTGGCCGATCGGGAGGGGAGGCGTTCGGGCAAATCAGGCACTGCCAGGCAGATGCCCTGCAAGGGTTGCTCACTGGGGCTCCAGGCGGGAACAGGCGGACCTCTTTGGGGCTTCTTGTTTGGCTCCTGAGCGCATCACTAACAAATGGCAGGCTGGCTGCCCCTCCCACTGGTGCTCCCCTTCTCTCAGCCTCCACTTGGCGCCTTGCCTGGCAGGCGGCCCCTCCCTGGCCACCTGGGTGTCAGGCTCAGAGCCAGGCCCTGCAGCGCCCGGTTCACTGAAGTGCCTGGGAAGTTCCTCTTCAAACCCCACAGCCATTAATTATTGACAAGGCATGCGAAGGTGAGATAAAAGAAAGCCATTCCTCCTTGCGTGCAAGATAGTAAATAAATTTAATTATAGGACAAGCGCTAGGGGATCTCTGCCTATATTAAGTTTATTAGCAGAGACATTTAAAAGCATGTCATCATAACAAAAAGGTCTTGTGTAATCCTAAATGTTCCACTTTGATACAAGACTCCAAAGTGAATAGACTTAATTGAGCAGATGGCTTGCTGCTCCGGCTGGAACGGGACAGGTTTATTGCCAATTAACTTCTGCCTGCAGATCTCCATGGCAAAGGACAGTGTAATGGCTCCCCAAGACCCTGTTTCTGTGCCTGCCAAGCCCTGGAGCCAAAAGGCCAGTGGCGATCAGGTGCCCGCTTGGCTGGGTCAGCTGCAGATCTAACCACTCTCTTGCTCTCTCTTGTCCTCCAGGGAGATGATGCCCAGGACCCTGGAAGGACAGCTCACCATGGAGAAAACTCCAAGTTATTTTGTCACCAGTGAGGCTCCCGGGCGAATCCACTCCATGGCCAAGGACACCAAGCTAATTGTGGTGGTTCGTGACCCAGTCACCCGGGCTATCTCGGATTACACCCAGACCCTTTCCAAGAAGCCCGAGATCCCCACCTTTGAGGTGCTGGCCTTCAAGAACCGAACTCTCGGGCTGATCGACGCCTCCTGGAGCGCCATCCGCATCGGCATCTATGCGCTGCACCTGGAGAGCTGGCTCCAGTACTTCCCGCTCTCCCAGATCCACTTCGTCAGCGGGGAGCGGCTCATCACGGACCCCGCGGGGGAGATGGACAAAGTGCAGGACTTCCTGGGCCTCAGGAGGGTGGTGACAGAGAAATATTTCTATTTCAATAAGACCAAGGGGTTCCCCTGCCTGAAGAAGCCGGAGGAGAGCGGCGCGCCCCGGTGCCTTGGCAAGTCCAAGGGCCGAACTCACCCCGTGATTGATCAGGATGTAATTCAGAGGCTGCGCAAGTTTTATAAACCGTTTAATGTGATGTTTTACCAAATGACGGGCCAAGATTTCCAGTGGGAGCAGGAAGAGGGAGAGATGTGATGCCACGGCAGTGAACGATGCTGTTTTCTCTTCTGAGGTAAATGGCTTTCCTCTGAGGAAGGAAGCCTCTTCGCGGTTTGAGGGGGAGCAGCTTTGTGAGCATTCACCACCCTGATTGTTTTCCCTTAGTGGTGTTGGGGCTACAGCCAGCATGGTCCTCCCATCCAGGCCATGATGGGTGAGGAAAGCTGCTTGGAGCTCCTTCGTGTGCACAGCACACTGGGGTGGGTGCTGCCTTGGACCAAGGACCCTATATCTGAGCTGGCTTCACAGGCAGGGTGCCAATTTGCTTAAGGTGGCATTCTCAGGAGCCCAGCCTTGCATAAAAAAATTAAAATGGCAACAACTTGTGAGGTCAGGCTTCTCACGTGAGATCTCCTGAGATTTCAGGTGAGAAACAGCAAGAGGTGTTAGGTGTTCCCACCTAACAACTACATCAAAATGATGATGGTATCCCACCAGTTTTCAGCAGTCTGACTTTAGCCATGTTTCATTTTTCAGTTTTTGTGGCTTTGCACAAGATCACATAACTGTGACTCTGCCTGAAGATCCCCAAGCTTTGGGCTCATTGTCCAGCCTCTATAATTGCCCGCAACCTTCTTGAACTCCTTCCAGTTGTCCCCCTCCAAAACTCAGCTCAGAATTTCAGCAGCCATTTGGGGTCTCGTCCCCATTTTTTGAGAGTGCTCCCCATCCTGCCTGCAGCCTGGTGCTTTGAGAGTCAGGTGACTCCTGCAGAAATGCCAGTTCATCCCACTCTCGGATGGAAGGGTCAGAAACTGTGTGCTGCTGCAGCCTGGGGCCAAGGAGAAGGGGGTCATGCTTTGCCTGTCCTTTGCAGGAGGACGTGGGATGGGAGTGCCATTCCACCCAAATCCATGCCGGCACCCAACATCCTTTCCCGTGCCAACTGGGCAACCGCCAACGACCATGATCACTACAGGGAAATTCCAAGGGTGGGGTCACAGGAGCAACCGGGGTGTTACGCTGCTGCACTAGAGCCAGGGAGACCAGGGGACTCAGTCAATCGCGGTCCTTCAACCCAACAACCTACCTCACAGGGTTGTTGTGGGGATAAAATAGAAGAAGATCCTCATATGAGGTCTCTTGAGTTCTCTTTTCTCTTGAGGAGAAAAGGCAACTATAAATCTAACGAACAAAAAATGAAGTATTTCTGACTTTCATGTATGATTAAGTTGTGACTCCCTCTATTAAATGAGAACCGTGGTGTCACGCAATCCATTTTGCAAGGATCAAAGTGTTCAGGGAGATTACTTTAAAAAAGAAAGAGGGAAAGGAAAACCGTACGTCACGGACGGTGGGCTCTGCAACCTGCTCCCTCTCCCCACCCTCGAGCTTCTGCTGTGGGCCTGGGCCTGTGCCCGGGGCAGGGGGACACAGGAAGAGGAAGAGGCCCACCCCTGCTCCCTGGCCTGGCCTGTGTCCTCAGCCTGGCTCACGAACAAGGTTAGTGGCCACCTGGCTCCTTCTTCGTCTATTTAGTTTATTCAGGATTTACTGGTCCTCAGCCTGCACGCGAGGTAGCACTGCTGGGGCACGTCCTCCCTCTCATCTGCCCCACCTTGACAAAAGCCACAGCCGGGTAAATGGGCACATCTCTTGTGAGAAACGGCCAGTGGCAACCTGGACCAAACGGCACCAACCTCATGAGGAACATGTAAAGTATCAGGGGGAGGGTTGACGAGAGCCCCGGAAGAGCCGCAGGTGGCCAGTCGGAGTCCTCCTCCGCCCAGCGGACGGCCGGGTGGTCCCAGCCGGGGCCTGCGAAGGGGCGCCGCTGCTCCGGTAACGAGGTGCTGCTGCTTCTTCTCCTCCATACAGAACCCGCCCGTGGTGACAAGAGCCTGACCTGACCTCCCGGACGCCCCGGGCCGGC